TCTCAAAAAACCAAACCAAAACAAAAGTAAATAAAGTTCAAAAATTAAGGAGACTAAAGACATTTTTTAAAAATTCAGAATGACCTTAAGTAACAGCAGTCCCCGGCCCCTAGGTCCTAACTCTGATAAACTGTATTTTGTTCTATAGTCGTAACTTTTAAAAGAAAATGTGTCATGGGTGTAACACTGTTAATGAATGATGGAAAGAAAACGGCTTTTCCATTCCTAGTTTAGGAATAATAAGCTTAGCAATCCCTCTTTTCCTCCCTTTAACTTTTTATCCCTATGCAATGACAGAAAAAACCAAGCATAGGAAAGTGGTCACACCAGGGATCTTTAAAGTTGTCATGACCCAGACTAGAAGAAGAAGGCAAAATAATTTTTTTAAATTAAAATTAGGTGATTTGGGGGCGGTGCCTGTGCTTGGGTAGGGCGCTGGCCCCGGCCCCATATACCGAGGGTGGCGGGTCCGAACTCGGCCCCAGCCTAACTGCAACAACAGAAAAACAGGCAGGCGTTGTGGTGGGCGCTTACAGTCCCAGCTACTCAGGAGGCTGAGGATCACCTAAGCCCAAGAGTTGGAGGTTGCTGTGAGCTGTGACACCACAGCACCCTACCAAGGGTGATAGAGTGAGACTCTGTCTCTAAAAAAAAAAAAAAAGAAAGAAAGAAAGAAAGAAATTAGGTGATTTCTTGCGAGCCACAGGACATCTGATTTGATGTTTCTGATTTGTGTTCTTCCAATTCTAGTACTAAAAAACTAAGAATTCTTAGTTGAGAATTCTTTTCTCAGTGTTTAAGGAAGAACATTGGGATCGTTAGTCCTGGGGCTTTGTTTAAAAACTGGTACCTTAAACTAGATGGCCATTTTTCAAACTTAAACTTAAGTGACACTTTTGCGAAATGGCTAATTGGGCATCCTATTCCCTAGTTTTTCTTCAAATCCTATCAACCTTCCACCTTTTAATTGGGCTTCCCATAATATTAAAAGGGCAGGAAACATTGCTCCAGCTCAGCTGGATAAGGAATAACTCTGCTACAGAGAGTATACATGTAAATAAGATACTAAAAAAAATCAACATCTAGGCAAAATATTATTGTTTATTTCAAAGACCTGTTAAATAAACCTTTGACTGTGAATGACAGAATACTGAAAGTTTGTTCCAAGTATGAATCTACAATCATTATTCAAAACAATCAAGTCAGAACTAATAATTTTCTTTATGAAGTTTCTATTATAGAAGCATGTTAGCCCTAAACTTCGCATTTAACAGAATTAGTCACTGACCCAAAGTCTTCCCTCCCAACTTCCTATCATTTTTATCTTCCTCACTTTACTGTCCCTACCTGCTGCATGGGCACAGCACGGCAGTAACTCATTTAGTCTTCCCAATACTCCATTATTCACATGTCAGAAGAGGACTCTGAAGCAAAACAAGGTTAAATAACTTGTCCAAGGTCAAGAGCCAGCAAGCTGCAGAGCCCACGAGGAGCCAGCCAGCCTGGTAGCTGTATAACTGCCTTCAGATACTGTGACTGATCTACGCCATTCCCAAGTGATCGCTTAGCATTTTGTTACTAATGTCACTATTTCCAACAGTATTTCAGTAAACATCTTCGTGCTTATTTCCTAATTCTGGAAGCATTGCTGGGTCAGAGGGTAACGGCATTTAAAAATCTTCAGCTCAGTTCAGAGGCCATCTCAACCAGTTTGTTCACCTAGTTGCCTGGTTTAAATCATATTTGAAGCAGAAAACCAGAAAAGGGTGAGATGAAGTAGCAGATGTCATCAGCCGAACAACACAGAGGAGAAACGGCGAGTTCACAGACCATTACCCAACCTGCTGTAGCTGTTACCTCCAGGTAAACGAGCGCCTCTGAGTGCTGCTGTATCTTAACACACTGAAATCTGCCTCGTACTTCAGTTACCACAAATTCTTATATATCTTTTCAAAAAGAATACTAAAGTATTTATATTTAATACATTTAAAAGTCTTCTATCAATATCTTATACCATGCTTTATTAAAAGGATTTTTATAATATTTGTTGAGAAAATTTTCTTAAGAATAAAAACCTAGAACTATAAAGTTGATGACTAATAGGTATCTGACTACATAAAAATGTAAAATTTAATACGATACAAAAAGGCCACAACAAAATACCAGTCTATAGAGGAAACTGTCTAACTTATTAAAATGTTAATATTACTAAAAACAAAAATATAAAAAGAAAACAAATTCTATTATTTGAAAATTAAAAAGAAAAGGAATGATTTGCACTCAACCAGACTAGTGTTTTCTGGAGATGGGGCCTCACTGTGCGGCCCTGGCTGGACGCAGCAGGTCCTCGAGAGCCCGGCCAGGACACCTCACGGGGCCTCACTGCGCGGCCC